CATCCATGCCAGCACTGATTGCTTTGTTCCTTTGAATGTGTGCCAGTCTCTGTGGTGTGAGATGGTATCTTCTTGTTTTGATTTGCATCTCCCTGATGATTAGTGATGTGGAGCTTTTTTTCATGTGCCTTTTGGTCATTCGTATTTATTTTTTGAGGAAGCTTCTATTCATTTCTTCTCCCCATTTTTGTTGGTGTTGGTGGTTTTTTTCTTGTACAGTTCTACTAGTGTGTGTATATCCTGGATGTTAATCCCTTATCAGATAGTTTCTTCAACCAGCTGTCTGTTCTCGGGCACTCGGGTTGTTTCCACATTCTGGCTATTCTGAATAGTGCTGCAGTGAACATGGGCATGCAGATGGTGTTTTTGCTGTGTGTTTTTGTGCCCCTGGGGTACATTCCCAGAAGTGGTATTGCTGGGTCATATGGAGGCTCAATTTCCAGCTTTTTGAGGGATGCCCTTACTGTTTTCCAAAAAGGCTGGACCAGTCTACATTCCCACCAACCACGAAGAAGAGTTCCTTTCTCCCTGCACCTGTGCCAGCATTGATTGCTCTTGTTCTTTCTGAAGTGTTTGGACGTCCTTTCGTGCTCCTGCAGCTGCTTGCTTCCCCAAGGGTCCTCCTTCTGTGGGTGGGGTCTTTATTTCTACATCTGGGTGGTCCTAATGTAACTTTAAGGATAGCATCTAAAGTTCTCTGGTTTTTGTGTTCTTCAGGATAGATTTGACAATCCAGGTGAAGGCCTTTTTCTTTTCCAGGTAATTATAGTTTTCTTAAAAAATAAAATAAAAGCCCGACTTTCTGATTGAATTTTGTAAACTATATATATATATATATCTGTATATATATATGTTTTAAAGATTATTAAGATTGGAGTATTAGCCTGTGAGCATGCCTTACCACGCTGACTAAAACAGTAATTAGGGGAGAACAGTTCTGCTGAAGTTAGAGACACCCACTCATTAGTCCTGAAAAATTGGGAACCTTAAGAGGCAATTTATATGCAAACTCTCCATCATTAGCCTGAAAGACCACTTCCCAGGAGAGTGTTCCCCTCTCCCTTCTCCTGCCCTCCTAATTGCCACTGCCCTGGCTTCCTTGTTGGATTAAAGCAGACAGAAGCCGGAGTCTCACCCAGTCACGGAACGTGCTTCATTATCAGAGCAGCCCCAACATCCCATACTCTCAAGACACTGTTGCCAGTGGCCGACTGACCTCCACGGTGGAGGAGGAGGGCTGCTGGGTGGCTTATGTGAGGTGGGGGGAGAGAGGCAGTGGCCTCGAGAAGGGATCTGCTTCCCTCTCTGCCCGCCTGTCACCCAGGGACATGCCTGGGCAATTCCTGTGCCCCTGCCTGCAGGGGTGCTCAGGTCCCAGCAGCCCCACGAGGCAGAGCCTGACACCCACTTCTTCTGCAAGGCATTGGAGATGATCCCCACTGCCCTCCCCCCGTCCCCCAGCTCTCAGGTTGCCCTGGACTCAGACGGGAGTGAGGAATTGATATTTGCAGTGAAAGAAAGTCAGTCCTAAATCTTACCCAGGCTAGTTTGGGTCAGTTGCCTTTTCCTCACAGTAAAGAATTTCAGGAAGAGACAAAGAGTGAAATAAAACAAGTTTATTGGGGAAATAAAAGGAGGGGAAGAGAGAGGTAGAATTAAGAACATTCTGAAGAGAGGAAACGGGCTTCCTCAGGGTGGTGAGAGGAGGACACATCCCAAGCAGATCAGTGTTGGCCAGTTCTCCAGAATGGGGGGTGGGCATTAAACTCTGAGCGTCCACATCGCAGGAGAGGAGACGTGGGGGGCATGCACATGCCTCTTGCTCCAAAAAGTGAGTTTATAAAGTTTTCCCAATCCTCTGCCCCTCCACTCCACTGCTAGCCTGGCTGCTGAGGGGGAAACTAGGAGCAGTTGATGGTCTTTAGCCTTTGTTCCAGCCCTGGGTGAGGAGAGCGGTGCCTGCTATAGGTTGCGTTAATCAGTGTTCTCAGGGAAATGGAACCAATAAGATAGATGGACGGATGGAGAGATGGATGGGTGGGTGGGTGGGTGGAGGAGAACAAATGGATGATAGATGGAAGGACGGATGTGAACAAATGGGTGATGGATAATAGATGGATGGAGGGGTATGGATACATGGAAGGATGGCCAGATTGATGAATATATGTATGACGGCTGGATAGAAGGGCGAATGGATTGATGCTGGATGGATGGGTGTGCGGAAAGAGAACATATGATATCTGGATACAGAGAGGAGTGAACGGATGGATGAACAGGCAGAAGGGTGAACGGAAGAATGGACACATGGACAGAGAAACTTCTTAAGGAACTGGCTTCTGTGATGATGGAGGCCGAGGGGTTGGAGGTCTGGAGGCCCAGGCAAGCAATAGTACAGTGCCAGGGTGAGACTCAAGTCCCAGAACAAGGAGAGCTAGTGCTCACGTTCTAGCCTGGAAGCCAATGGACTTGAGACCCAGGCTTTCAGCTGGTGTTTCACTTAGAGTCTGAAGGCAGCAAACGTGAACGGGGAAATGTGGTGCCTGGGTCAGCACTTCTGTTCTTACCGTCAGCCATTTGGCCGAGCCTCGTTCTCACTGGAGGGTCTGTCTGCTCCCTCAGCGCCCTGTCGCTCTCCCAGAAACACCCTCACAGACACACTCTGAAGGGCATTTGAATCCCTGAGCACTGTGTGTCCCAGTCTAGTTGGTATGCAAAGCTGTCGCTAAGGCAGGAGAGTTTGTGGAGGACAGCTGGCTCCGACGAGCCGCAGCAGTGACTTGTGGAGAATGGGCTGAGGCGAGCAGGGCTGACCGGCTGATGTAGGTGGGAATCAGCCAGCACGAACCAGACCCTTCCTTCAAAGCTCAGGCTTGGAAATGCCGTTGCAGGCCAGGCGCCGGGGAGAAGGGACTAGAAGGAACCGATCCTTGTGGGAGAGATAGACCCTTCCTGCTGGGCCTGAGAGGCCAGCTCCAGGCACGCCTGGTGCTCGCCCCTTCCTTCATTTAGATGGTCTTGAATTGGGGTGGACTTGGCTGGAGGTGGGGGACCTGGGAGCCCTCTGCGGGAGTGTGGCCCAGCACAGGCCATCAGCTGTGATGGGTGAGCATGCCTGTGGCTCCATCGTGGCCCAAGTCCTCACGTCCAGGTCCTTGAACTCCTCCCCAACCCCCGAGGCACTTTATTGACCAACTGGACCCAGTCTTCCCGCCAGTCCCTGCCGCCACACTTCCTATGTAGGGTCACAACCGCCGGGGCAGCTGGGTGAGTGTGCTGGAAGATAGCCAAGGCCTCCCACCACATAAGGGAGAGGCTGGTACAGGCTCAATGGCCTGGCAGGGACAGAGGACGGGCGGCACCTTAGCATAGGAGTCAAGACAGGAAGAACATCTGGGGAGGCGCAGAGGCGGCAGCGAGTGGGGCGCCAACTGTGCTCACAGTAAAGTGAGTTTATCGAACCACTTCTTCGGTGAGTGGCAGGCCTTCTTGGAGAGTGGCCACAATTCAGCCTCGAGAAAGAATATTTACCCAACGCTCACTCTGCCAGTGCTTGCTCGGCGCAGGAAGGTGGAGATTTCTTCCCTAACCCCATGGTTGATGGGTAGTGCCTGAGGGCCTGAGTGGACCCAGCACTGGTGCCGGGGATACGCCCAGAAAACCCACAGGGCCTTGGGCCATGGGAGCCCGGAGCCCAGCAAGGGAAATGACCCCGAGGACACAGGTGTGGGTCGAATTTGACAGAACGGGCCAGAGAAAGCCTGTGGTGCTCAGGCACATGGGCGTTCGCCTGACGGGTCGAGGCAGCTTCTCTGATGCAGAAGGGTGGGGATGAGGCAGGGATGGCCAGCCACAGGCCAGAGGACAGTTCTAGACACAGGAAGCACGTGGGCTGGGGTGGTGTGGCGCTTTGGTGGGAAGGCAGGTGGGTGAGTGGCAGGGCCTGGCCCACAGGCTGTGGCGGATGGTCTTCCCTCTACCCCAGAGCAGAGCAGGGAATCCGGCTGAGCAGTTGCCTGTGGTGGGGTTTGGGCAGGGTGGAGGGCCCCGCCCGGGCACTCCCAGCCAGACAGGATGGTGGGTTAGACCAGGTGGCAGGGAGGTGAAAGGATGGGCTTGTGGCTGGACACGGGGCTGCCAGAGAAGGGTCCAGGCTGGGTCCTGTGTGCAAACCTGTCCTGAGACGGACGCCGCGCCCCTGCTTCTAGGCTCTGAGTGGGCCTGTGGGCTCCAGGGGCTTTGAGGCCTCTGAGCGGGCCTATCTGGGGCAGGCGTGGGTTCAGACACCAAGAGGCCAGGGGGGATTGTTGGAGATCCTTGGCAGAGTGGCGCTAGGGCTGGGCGTGTGGTGCTGGGGTGGGGGTGTGGTGCTGGGGCCGAGCGTGGGAAGGACACCAGCGTGGGAGGTGGAGAAGAGAGACAAGGAGCTGTCATGGAAGCCACATGGGAGTCTTCTGAAGGGGAGTGCGGTCAGAGGGGGACAGAGAGGTGTCCCCTGGCTGCCCAGCCACGTGTGGGGGTGGCAGGAAGAGACGGGCCTTGGATTGGAGGATGCGAGATCAGTCACAGGAACAGAGGACCCCCTTGAGAAAGGGGCAGGGGAGCCTGAGCCACCAGGGGGAGGCCATGACCCTCACCTTCAGTCGCCCCAGACTTGGGCATTACAACACCAGCAGGACAGGACCACGGTGCATTCGGCCAGGCCGGCCCCTGTCTGCCCCGTTCAGATGCCCGGGACAGACAAGGCAGGAAACGGGGAGGACCGTGCAGCATCCAAGGCAGCAGGAGGACGCTGGAGTCTCCCGTGTCCCAGCTTTTCTCGCTCCTTTTTTCCCCTTTGTTGTGGGTCCTATGGGGGGGGGGGGTTGGCTGCTACCTGTCCATAAAGCCCCTTCTGCGTGGAACACTGCTCTCGAGACCAGCGGCTGTGACTAATACACCTTTGCAGAAGAACTTTCCAGAGGCAATGCAGCGATCTAAGTTCTCTCTTTCTTCTCTTGCAGTCAACTTTGACCACTTTCAGATTCTGCGCGCCATTGGAAAAGGGAGTTTTGGAAAGGTAAGAATGATGAATTGAAAAAAAAATAAATATAAATTGTGGGGTTTTGGCTCACACCTAGCTTCACTCAGGGGTTACCCGGGGCTCTGTGCTTGGGATCAGTCCTGGGGACCTGGGGAAACCACATGTGGTGCTGGGGACTGGATCTGGTTTGGCTGCATGTGAGGCCAGCACACACCTGCTGAACTGTCACTCCGGCCCTGTATGATGGATCTCGAAAAGCTTCACCTACAGGAATTCATGCAGAAATGCAGGTGGTGACTTTTGGGCAGTGGGTTTCCTTTTCACGGAAGGATTTAGACTTGCTGTGTTCTGACCCGGGACTGGAGCGATAGCACAGCAGGTAGGGCGTTTGCCTTGCACGCGGCCAACCTGGTCAGCCCAGGTTCCATTCCTCCACCCCTCTCAGAGAGCCCGGCAAGCTTCCGAGAATATCTCACCCTCACGGCAAAGCCTGGCAAGCTGCCCGTGGCGTATTCGACATGCCAAACACAGTAACAAGTCTCACAATGGAGACGTTACTGGGCCTGCTCGAGCAACTCGATGAACAAGAGGACAGTGCTACAGTGTTCTGACCCTGGCAGCCCCGGGTCTGGCGACTGGAAGGACTAATGCTTCCAATATTGCTGAGCCTGTTTCTTCTTTGTTAAATGAGGGACACAGGGCAACCCCTCCAAACCTCAGAGCTGGCAGAGAGCAGGTCACCACTGCAGTGTGGGCTTTTTATCTTAAAAGTTACAGTGGAAGGAGCTTTCCACAGTCCGCCTGACCCGCTTGCCCCTGGGGAGTGCCTGGGTAGCAGGAGGTCTATGGTGTCTTTATTTTGGACCTACGCCCCGTGCCCTTCAGTCATTAAGCCCCGTTTCTCCCTTCCCTCAGCCCCTGGCCACGTCCTTCCAGCCTGGGAGCCTTTGACTGGACTTTTCCACATGCCTCTGGCCCTCGCCCAGAGGAGCCACTGCCTCTCTCTTCCTGCCAGTTCCCTCAATGACCTCGGTGCCTCCCAGCTCACCCATGTTGCTGCAGAGCGAGCATTCCTTCCCCTCATGCCGGGGCCCCAAGATGGCAATGTGTGCTATTTAACCCCCATCCGAAGTGCACTGGTGGGTGTGCTCTTTTCGAGGGCTCAGGCCTCTGGTTTTCCATTGTCTTCCTCACAGCTTCTCTCGACCTGTCTGTCTGTTGAGGAGCATCCCACGCCCTGCCATTCTCTGGGTACTGTGACCAATGATGTACCTTTGAGATGCTTATTTCTTTAATTATATTCAGGTGTGGGGCCACACCCGGCAGTGTCCTGGGGTTTCTGTCAGTGGCGCTTGGAGGCCCAGGAGGCTGGGAAGCGAATCCTGAGGTACTCAAGCTAAAAATGCGCTCTGGCTCTTTGAGCAAGTTCCCAGCTCTTCTGGCTAAACAGTCAGAGGTGGGATGCAGGACTGTGTGGCAGCTCCGTTTGGAAACTGTTGGGGAAACACCTTTGGCTTCCCATCTTGTGCTCCACTTGGCTTTCCCTCCAGCCCCCCATGAGGCCCCGCGGTCCTCCCATACCCGTGGGTTATGCTGCCGGCCACCAGTCAGAGGGGAGCTGGTGTCTCTCTGGGGTCCAGTAAGCACATCCCTCTTATTGGGGACCCGGAACACGTTTTCCTGTACTCACCAGCAGTTTGTACGTCTTTGGAGAAATGTCTGTTCTTCTCTGTGGCCAGTTTTAATTAACATTAGCGCTAGTTTTGTGTTCAGACTATTTCGTCTTTAAACGTGTAGGAATTCCTGATATCTTTTGGAGATTTGATCCTGAGCAGATGCGAGGTCTGCAGATGGTCACTCCTGTTCTGCAGTTTTTCTTGCTCTTTCTTGCACAGCAAAGATGTTCCAGTATGATGTTTTGTTGTGTTTCTGGTGTCTGATCAGTGAAGTTGGTTCTAAGACCCATGCAGTCAAGAAGCTCTTTCCTTAACTCTTCTTAGAGGAGAATGATATTTTTAGGTCGTAATATTTAAATTCTGGATCTGTTTGTGCTTTTCATACAGTCAGACCTTTAATTCGATTGCATCAGTGTAGACGGTTGTACTGGAAATAGCCTGTGAAGGCACTCAGCTTCTCTGGGCGTGGAGAAGCTGGCCATGGAGTTTTCTCTAAATGGTGTCTTGTCCTGTTGTTGGCAACTTGCATAGAATTGGCATGATATTGGCCAATTTAGGTTCCTTTCTGTGTTCTTTCATCCATTTATTCACTCACCTACCCACCCTTCTACTCACCCACCCCCTTACAAAGGGACAGTGATATTGAGCTCTGCTCTAGGTTCAGAGGTCACGAAAGTGTTCCAGCTGTAGTTGCTGCTTTGGGGGCTCTTGCAAGGATACTCAGGAGGTAGAGAAATAAGCAGAACTAAAGTTGGGTGTGGAAAACACCAGAGCGAAGCCCAGGGAGGAGGGGTCGGCAGCGATGGACCCTACTTCAGACTCCAGAAGTGCCCTTTCTGTGGAGGGAATGAATGTGTAATATTTTCTTGCACGTGGTCAGAAGAAGCAAAAATCTGACAAAGTTGAATTTTATAGTTACCGTTCACGTCCACCTCTTACATCTACAATGAACCTTTAATCAAACTCATTTTATATAATAGCTTTATTTATAATCCCTTTATTCCAGTCATCAGTCTTGTTTCACAAACTTTGTTTTATTTATTTACTTCTTGTTTTGAGGGCCACACTCAAGGTTTACTTGTGGCTCTGTTCTCAGAGATTACTCCTGGCAGGGCCTGGGAAACACAGGCCGTGCCAGGGAGAGAACCTGATTCACCTGGGTACAAGGTAAGTGCTGTACCACAGTACTGTTTCTCTGGTCCTTATTTTATATGATTTATAGTAAATTAGAAATATTTGTATCTTCCCAAATGTTGTATTAAGATATTTGTCTCTATTTTTTATGTAGACATACATACAATGAACTGCACCAACTTTATATTTTCATTTCCTGACTTCATGCATACATACATCGGTGAAGCATGAACATCTAGCAACATGCAGAATATTGCACTGTCCAAAATTGTCCTGTTAAGTCTTCCAGTTACAGCTTACCACCCCCCCACCACTTCATTCCCTATAGATCAGAGCTGTGTCCTCTAGAATTGAAATAAGCGGACTTTTAAGAAAGGGACTATTTTGTGTAAGACCTTATAACAGTTTGCATTTTGCATATCATTTTTGCAGCAAGATATTTTGGGCATGCTACTTATTAGTACTTTTGCCTTTTCTGCATGAATAATATTCTATTAGTTTATGGTGGTTGGTCAAGTCTTCTGCATTGTGATGAATTCTTAGACTTTCTAGTTTTTGTTACTTTACAAAAGTTGCTATGACAATGCATAAATCTGGTTTGGTGATAATGTGAAATAATTTATTCCAGGTAAATATCCAGGAATAGAGTTTCTGGCAGACCTGCCCAGGTGTATGATCAGTTTGATAGAAAGTAACAAGTAGGCATTTTAGCGGTTGCATTTTACTCTTTTACAAATTATTCCATTTGTTTTGCTTTCTTGCCAACAGTGCTATCAACACTTTTCATTTTAGATGTTTTAAACAACAATCGCGTGCTTTATAATATCACGGTGTGGTTTTAATTAGTGCTTCTCTGGGGACTAATGATGACAAGCATTTCTGTGTGCATTTAATGGACGGTCATATATCATTTATGAAGTTTCTATTCAATGCTTTTCACCATTGAAAAAAGTGGATTGCTTTTTCACTCTTATGAACATTGTTATTGCCTGTAGGGTGTGTTTTTCAAAAAGTAGATATAATGGACATATAACATTGTGTTAGTTTAAGGTTTAGTTATGATTTGACACATTTATGTATTGCTTTAGCATCATCCCCAAGTATCTGGCTAACACCTCTTTTCTTTGCACATCACCTAATTATTATTTCTTTTCCCTGATGAGAACATTTAAGATCTAGTTTCTTAGCAACTTTGAAGTACATAAAAACACTTTTGTTAACTCTAATCACTATGTAGCGCATCAGTGCTCCAGAACTGATTCATCTTTGAGTCGTAAGTTTATACCCTGCAGCAACACCTCTCCTGCGCCTCCACCCAGGCTCCTGGCGCCCAGAAATCTGCTGTTTGGACAAACTCAGCTTTTAAAATCTTCCTTGTATGAGTCTATACGTGGTAGCAGCTTTTGTCTAGCTTGTTCTGCTGTGTGGCCGCTAAGTCTTGTCTCAAATGGAAGGACCTCCTTCTTTCTTGTATTTGAAAAATGCTTCTGATAATATTTTCTTTGATCTTGATTTGCTGATGAACTCCTAGGTTCTCTCCATATCTTGGCTATTGCGAGCAGCACTTCAGTAAGCACAAGAGTACAGGTTTTGATTTTCGAACAATATTTAACACGCTGAGTTCTGTAGACTAGTTTTCAGGCTGTTGCTGTTGGCCATTTGTTCTACAGAACCATAAGACCATGGGGGTGGGGGGTGGGGGAACAGGAGGCAGGGATGTAGGTGGAGGATAGACACTGGTGGTGGGTGTGATGTTGCAGCATGGTTTGCATGAAACTCTGATTGTTGTTAATTCATACTGTGAATCACATGCCTAAAAAAAACTTTAAAAAGCCAATATCTGACAAGGAAGCTATGACCATTCAGTGTGGAATGGATAATCTTTTCAAAAATGCTGTTAGAAAGATTAGTTACCCCATGCTGGAAAATGAAATTGGACCTCTCTTTGACACTACTCAGAAAAATTAACTGGAGGTAGATGAAAGACTTATACAGAAGACAAGATAAGTGTAGAATGAGTGTAAGTGAACAACAAAGAGACACCTGAATCCTGGTCTTGACTGTGATGTTTCTGGAGATGACAACAAAAACCACAAGCAGCAAAACCAGAATCAGCAAATGAACAAATGAGGTGATGACCAAACTATAAGCTGCTGCAAGTTAAAAAAAATCATCAACAAAGTGAAAAGGCAGCCCAGCAAATGTGAGAAAAGACTTGTGAATCGT